TGTCTGAATTCATTTTCGCCCATTCCGCGCAAAGCGCGGAAGCTTTCACGTTTCATTAGATTATTAGAGAAAGGAGACGATTGTATCGTGTTCTTGTCTGAATTCAGTTTTCCCCCTCCCGCGCGAAGCTCGGAAGCTTTGACACTTCATTAAATTATTAGAGAAAGAAGACAATTCGTTGTACCGTTCTTGACTCTTAATTTCTGTTTTGATCCAGTTCCTCCCCCCCCCCCCTTCCCGCGCAAAGTGCGGCAGTTTTGACGTTTCAATAACTTATTAATCTTAATCCTTGTCTGAATTCATTTTGCCCATCCCGCGGCGGAAGCTTTCACATTTCATTAGATTATCAAAAAAAGAAGACGATTCGTTGTATCGTGTTCTTGTCTGAATTCAGTTTCCCCCCCCCCCTCCCGCGCGAAGCGCAGAAACTTTGAAACTTCATTAAATTATAAGAAAGAAGACAATCCGTTGTACCGTTCTTGACTCTTAGTTTCTGTTTGGATCCAGTTGCTCCCCCCCCCCTCCCGCGCAAAGTGCGGCAGTTGTGACGTTTCAATAACTTATTAATCTTAATCCTTGTCTGAATTCATTTTGCCCATCCCGCGGCGGACGCTTTCACATTTCATTAGATTATCAAAGAAAGAAGACGATTCGTTGTATCGTGTTCTTGTCTGAATTCAGTTCCCCCCCCCCCCTCCCTCCCGCGCGAAGCGCAGAAACTTTGAAACTTCATTAAATTATAAGAAAGACAATCCGTTGTACCGTTCTTGACTCTTAATTTCTGTTTGGATCCAGTTGCTCCCCCCCCCCTCCCGCGCAAAGTGCGGCAGTTTTGACGTTTCAATAACTTATTAATCTTAATCCTTGTCTGAATTCATTTTCGCCCATCTCGCGCGAAGCGCGGAAACTTTCATGTTTCATATCAGAGAAAGAAGACGATTCGTTGTATCGTGTTTTTTCTTAATTTAGTTCCCCCCCAGTTTTGACACTTCATTAAATTATTAGAGAAGCAGACGATTCGTTGTACCGTTTTCAACTCTTAATCCTAGTCTGAATTCAGTTGCCCTTCTCCCCCTACCCCGAAGTGCCGAAGCTTTGCCGTTTCATTAAATTATTAGAGAAAGAAGACGATTCGTTGTACCGTTCACTACTCTTAATCTTGTCTGAATTCGATTTCCCCACTGGGCCCTTAACGGTACATGTGCAGTGTTACATGATTTAAGTATGGAACGCCCGGCAGTGCTTGTCACAGTTGCTTCTGGAAAGGATTTTATTTAATAGTGTTACTGTATAGTGGCCACGGCCCCTTAGTTACTAGAAAAAACATATGCTCTTCCTGGCCATTTGGGAATGGGTCAGTTTGCAACAGAAATGGAGAAACGCGCATTTTGTTGAAAATCATGTGATATCACGAACATGTATACATCACTTGTATATGGAATTGAAAATAAGTCATGGCTAAATTTTATTTGGGGGGAGGGGGCTGGCGCCCCCCCCCCCCACCAGTACGCCAGTGCTGCTACTTGTCCTAAATCAAAAGTGTGGCGAACGGTACCGATCGCAGGCTGCGCTATATCCAATTCTCGATTGCTACATCAAGATGTTTACTCGGCGTTTGGTCTCTATCAGATAGAGTGCTGTTTGTTGAGTTGAAGGGTCAATCTTTCAATATGTATATTAGTCAGGTTTACGCACCTATACTACGGCTCATTCAGAGGAAGATGTAGACAAATTCTATGAGGATTTGGAAAAGGCCATGAAGCATTGTAAGTCACAGGTAATAACTTTCACCACGGCTGATAGCACAGTAGGACCTCATGGACTTTGAACCAGTACTGAAAGAGTATAGAGATAAATTAGTTTACAAGTCACCATTTACACAAACATGTTTTTTCAAAATCCGAGACGACTGAACATGAACAGGACATTCCGATACGACAATTCCATACGACAAGCTAAAGGATATCACGGAGCTGAATGCCAAATCGACCATGTTCTCCTCATCAGTCACATGCATGTCATGCTAAGAAAGCTGAAGAAGACGGAGGCAAGCCAGCGATTAGAACTTGACTTTTTAATTTGTGCTGCGCCTAGAAACAAAGTATGAGGCGCGTTATAAATGTGAGCTATTATTATTATTATTATTATTATTAAAGAGAGGGCAACGAAGTGACGGAAAAGTACAGAGTGGCAGTGCAAAATAGGTTACGCATGTTACAGGTAGAGGTAGGAAATGAGTCTCAATGACCAAGGTTTTCTGAAGCTGTCTCCACTGTAGCTTATAAGACTCTTACGAAAAAGAACAGGAAGAAGAAAAAGAAATTGATAACCTCCAAAATACTAATATTAATGGCGAAGGAGCGAGAGGAGAGGCCTATGAATACCTAGATAAACAAATCCGAAAGAAGTATAACGAAACCAAAGACAACTGGCTAAATGAGCAGTGTAATGAAATAGAGAGTAAGAAATGAGTATCAGACATTCATGCATTAATTCGAGAAATAACAGGAAAAGCGGTTTGCAGCTTTACCGGATGTTTGATATCAAAGGCCCTCTAACGCCCATCGCACACGAGACGTCAATGTACTGGCGTAGAACTGCGTCAGTGATTGGTGATGACCTTGATGTGCAACGTGAAAGTAAGATCTTCATGATCATTGGGAGAAGCAATTAGAAAAATGAACAGGGCAAACAATGTGTTGAATTAACAAAGTGTATGTGCTGATTATTTTTATAGTCTCGGGTAATAACGCAATCAAGCTGACGCCTGGTGTGCGGTGGGCATAATGCTTACATGTCTTTACAGTTGTGATGACAGGGGTCGTAGTCATTGCAGGGTCTGTGGATACACTTGGGGAAGGAGGAGGGGTCGCTAGCACAGCGGATGAGGTCATCTCTGGTTGATAAGTCGTCGGGGTGGTTGATATAGTCGGCGTAGTTTGAGGCATCGTTGTGGTTGGATCTACTGTATAATGATAATAATGATGATGATGATGATAATAATGATCATAAAAATTAAGAATATAATGATAAAAATAACAACATTAATGATAGGCTTACTACTAATACTGATACTAATAATACTACTCTTACCACTACTACTACTTATAATAATAATACTACTAATAAAGATAATGCATAATAGTAATGATAATAATTATAATTGCCAGGTTAACAATGTACACCAACAAGGGAAGGGGTAGGGGTAAAAGTGGATTTATGTCTTGCCAATTGACGTTTGTGCCTAGCTGGGATTTGAACCCGGGCCCCCAACCCTTGGATTAAAAGTCATATGAATTAACCACTTGTTGATTACACCAACTCTCTAATTTTACTTTGTTCTTTAAAAAAATGTTATAGTAACGTCTTTTAATTTACGCAAATAAAGGGAGGTAGACTCGATAGAGCGAATGTCTTAGGGATAGGAACCTGTGTTTCAGGACCAACTAGAAAGCCTACTCATCTTATTCCCTCGGAAGGGACTAAAAACTGAAGGTCATCTGTAATTGTCTTTAGAAATTACTTCCTTTATATCAAGTGAAGAAAAAAGATCAATCTTGTATAAAAAATTGCCTTTTTTTGTCAATTGAAAGCGTTAAAAACACCAAACGTTGATTTTGTTTTCGGCAATAGGGGGCTAACTCACTGGTAAAGGTGATAATGTATCCCGATGATCCAGCCGAGTTCACAGCCCTCGTCAACGTCGCAGTCAAAACCAGTGTCGTCTCTGGTAGTCCAGACATCACGGTTTCACCAAATGTTGTAGGGTTGATGGTCATACCGCCTACCTCCACACTCAGTGTGTCTCCAGGAGCTAGGTCGAAAACCAGGATTCGAATCAAGAGCATCCCCGATGACGCAGTGACATCGGTTCTGGAGATTAGGTTGTCTGGTCGGGATGTATCAGTACCTGATAGGACGTAATTACCAGGAAACCATGGTGATGAGACGTAGCCATCGCCAACAGACACTAGATTATTTTAAATGAAAATAAAAGTTAAAAAACATCAAATGAAACACCATACTAGATTTGTCATTGTCAGCCTGTCATGTTCAGCCTTAATAGATCTTTCATTAAACCTTTGTAATCAGAAATTGTTTTGAATGTGTGAGATCTGTTGGGAATCAAAAGGGCATTAACTCTATCTAGAGTGATATCAGTTAACACCCTTCTAACTATCAAAAGACGACTGCTATGACAATACGAACAGTTAAATAGGTTTTTGATAAGAACAGTTATTTGAAAGAAGATGACAAAAATTGTGAAACCAAATCCGAGGTTTTAAAACTGTAGACCTAAGCCTGGAATGTTAAATATTCGTTAAATTTGGTATGTGTGTGTGCGTGTGTGCGTGTGTGTGTGTAATTGGGTTTTTACAGACGTGTATCAATCAGATATGATTATTTACTTCAGGAGACCGACCTTTATTCGTCACCATCTGAAAGATATTATCTTCATTATTGTTTTAGCCTACAATTCAGACATTTTATTTATTATAATTATTTCTTTATTTTGAGATATGAAAACACTCACCAGAATAAACAGATAGGACTTCCATGTTGACTTCAGTGTCACCACATAGCTGAGCAGAGTTACCTGGGCATGGCGTTCTACACATAGTGTTATCAACAGGTTGGGCTGAAGGATTTACCTGGTCACCACAACTACATATGGTTCCATATAAACCAGCGAACATAAAATTTATTGAACAGCTCTGTAAGCAAGTCTCAATAGTATTTGACGTGAAAGTAATTGCTGAGTTTGATACAGGAATGTCTTCAAAGCGATAGCACCCTCGGTAATTTGGCGCGATCCCCACGTTTAAGCCTAAAAAAGAGCAAAAATAAATATGGATTACGTTCAGACAAATTAAGACTTTAGGTTTCTGTTAAAAATAGGACTACTACTGCTCTCATGTAGAATAAATAATTAATGCATAGTATCATTAAATGAAATGTAATCACTTCAAGATTCAGAATTCTCACGTACAATTATAATTTTAAACTCGGCCTCTGGTCTCAGTAAAATATAACATCAATCGGGAAAATGTTGAATATGTCGGTTCATATATTTTGTTGTATTGAACTTCATATAGCATTTATTATTTCGTATACTAGTAATACAATAATAAGGAATAATAACAAAGTGAATATGACGAAAGAAAACAAATACATGTACAATGACTGTATTCATACGTTTTTCTTTTTTTTCGAGACGGGTAAACAGGATTTAACCTTTTTTGAGTATCATTGTGTTGGAATAAATATTCGCCTATGTTTACGGAGTTAATCATACAAATAATACGTTTGGTCTACTCGGGATAAATATTTCTCTCCTTTAAAGAAACCTAAAGAGTAAAAAAAAAAGAAGAAAAAAAGAAGACATACATACAAAATAATTATGTTGACACAGGTCGATTATCAGTTTCGATATGTAGATCATCGAGGAAATAAAAGGTAATTTCATGAGGCTTGAAGACTTACCTGAGCACCTAACACCTACATCGTTGTTATGAGGGCATGTAGAGGTCTGTCCCCACTGGCCGTCTGTAACACACTCGTTCAGACGTCGGTCGGATGATTCACACTGGACGTCAGCTAACCAGATACGTTGTGTTGGAATGCCAGGCCCGAAACTTGGACTACTCAAAGAAACTTGAAAACCTATATTAAACATGAAAAATGGACATTTCACAATACGAAAAACCACTGTTCAGTCTAAATTGGAGTCCTGTGTAAAACAACCTTTGTGCCAATAAGGGAGTTCATTCCACAAAATGGAAATAAACAAAGCACAATAGAAAAATGTTTGAATACCCGGCCTGAATGAGTTCATAATTTAGGAGCCCTGGTTTAATATTGACACATGCTTCTGACAGTCTATAATTCCTTTACTTCCAAAGACATGGAATATCGACTCAATACTTTTGTGCTTAATTACAAAGACAATTCAACATCAATGAAAGACAAATTTATAAAATAACCGAGACATACAGTAATACATGTATGTAATTTAAGGATGATGGGTTAGAAATGTAATGGTTGTCTGAGGCCCAGTCTAACACAATATCATTTGACTATATCTGTAATTAAATGTACTATTTAACATCATTTCAGCTACGACGAACTACCCATTCCAAATGATGTTGCACAAATAATGATTCAGAATTTTTTTTTTAAACATTGTGATATAGTTATTTATTTATTTATATATTCATGTCTTCTTTTAAAAGCAGTGTAGGTCTTTCTGTTAAAAACTGCTTTACAATGGAGCCCTGCTGCAACATACAAACAAATGAGCAACAACAAAAGAAGAAAAACGTTACCATGAAATACTAGAAATATCACTGTACAAATAAAAGGTGACATATATGAACAATAACATTGCAAGAAATATAAAAGTAAGAAAAAAAACTGAACAGGAAATAAAGGATGACAACCATGTCATTACAACACATTTATAACTACTTGACATTTGTTTTAAAGATTGAAAGAAAGAAGAACAAATAGGATGAGAAGATGAAGAAGAAAAAGGTTAAAGAAGAAAAAGGAGAAGAGAAAAAAAAGGTAAAAGAAGAAGAAGATTGAAGAATATTAATATGAAGAAATTGAGCTATAGTAGTCGAGACTCACGTCCTTTTAGTCACAGTCACAGTCTCATATTTCAGAGTATTTTCAGTCTCTAATTTTCAGAGTAGTTTCAGAGAAAGTGATTTCTAGGAAGTTGTGTTGGTTTCCTTATTTTGTCTGGTCCAAAAGCAAATATATTGTATTTAAAAGAAAATATATTTTATATTTTTATTTACATATATTTACATTATTGCTTCTCAATTACTATTGTTCAGCCTATTGGATTGTAAACATGACGAGTTTTCATACAAACCTAGCTGTCTGCAGACTACATCACTGTCTGTACTATCCCATCCTCGGTTGCATATCGTACCCCAAAGGTTATCATAATACACCTCTACCCTTCCTTCCAGAGTGGAACTACCATCAACCAGTCGTACATCACCTACACAAAGAAAGACAAAATATGTAAATGGTTTTAAACACTACCAATCAGCCCTCTATCGGAAGAATAAGGAAATTAACTCAGAACAATGTAATTCCCTCTCGAACATCTCTCGTCAGTAGACTAAGTTTGATTCTAATAATTCATTGGCATAATAATAATGTGGTCTTATCAATAACCGGGGTAGTCACTTTAGTGTTACTATACTGCACCTCCTAGGAACCCTGCAATTATTATGAACCCAGCATTGCCAGATACGCATTTGGGTCGAGAGGTCAGATATGGGTTGAACATCTTGTCTCAGGAGGTAATCACACAGCGAGGATCGAACACACGACCTCGGGTGTTGTGTTCATTTAATAGGACATTTTCGTAATCTAACCAAATTCGTGCATATGCCTTTGTGAAGGGCCTCTATAAGAATTATTTTGTTCACCAATTACGAGAAATTGTATATCGCAATATTTACAATGCAAATTGTGTGTATTTAGTTGTTGCTAGGTAGGACAGTACTTATGGCTTGTACTACATAGCAAAACCTAATGTAGCCTATGCAATTTGCATTCTGACTATTGAAATATAATTATTCGTATCAGGTGAATGAAATAATTCATATCGTGACACTTATGTATCAATTCGGTTACATTGCGAAAATGGCCTATTCGGTGATTATTTACTTCATGAAGGTTGGACGTAACTGCATACAATTGGTGGAGCGACACCTTGTTTGATTTGAAGGAAACAAATCCAGTTCAGTATGACATCTGAGTTGAGTTATCTCTCCATCATAGCAAAAATAACCAATAACTTAAAGTGAAGAAAATACAGGCATAAATGTGGGGGTCGGACTTACATCAAAGAAAACTGTTTTCAGACCTTTCAACTTAAAGAGAAGGTTGAGTTATGGAGAGAGGTGAACAATAATTTGTGAGCGTTTTTATTTTTATTATGCAAATATGGAAGAATATATAAGAAAAAAATGTTACCTGAAAAGCATAGCTCTTCAAATGCCCCCATATTCTAAATATGACATGAAACAGCTTAAAAATGAGGACCACATTTTTTATGCCACACGTTTGTGTAGTCCATATTCATCTTTCTGTATACAGTGCTTGTCAGTGGCGGATCCGGGGGGGGGGGGGGCCCGGGGGGCCCGGCCCCCCCCCCCGAGAAAATAATCATGCAAAATCACGCGATTTTGTGCTCACTACCCCCCCCCCCCCCCTCCCCCCCCCCCCCCCCCCCCCCACTGAGCGACTTTTCGGCTGACTGAGTCGTTGCGATTTTTTTTGGGACTCAAAAAAAAATAAAAAAATGTCCGCTTATCTTTAAGTTAAAGTTAAAATCTCTGTGATATTATAAGCTAAGTCTTAAATTTTCTGAACGAATTGGTATCTAAGATATCACTTTTTAACTTGATGTAGGAAAGATGGTGACACAATTTGGCACCTTTCCAGACTCTGAACGTCCCACTTCAAAATGTTATTTGTGGTAAATTATCCCTGTTGATTTCACAAACTAACAAACAACCAAACAAACTTCATGGATGTATATGACCAATAAAATTGTAACGAAAAGAAAACAATAAACAATTTATTCACTGTCAAAATCCATGTCCTTTAGGAACTTTCACATCGCAGGAAAATCAAGAAATTTCTACAGTGGTTCAAACTCGAAGATTTTTCGTTAAACAAAATATCTTGTTGAAAAGCTGCTTAATGACAATCGTTAAGGTATCATAATTAGATTCAATCTGTTTACAACTTTCGTAGATTTAGGTCGGTTATTACTTCTCTTAAAAATCTACAAATACATGTACTTACAGACTAAAGGCTAAAGACTGTTACGGCTACTTACACATACACATCAAAGCCCAAAGACATACAATGTGAATAACTTTATTTGTACACACCTAGTAATTTTGTTTTCAAGAACGTAAAAATATAATCTTCTAATGATATTTCTGATTTACATGTGAAATAATAATAAGTCGAGAGCTTGATAGGTTTTGAAGCTCACCTAAATTTACCAATGGTATTTGAATCTATGGAATTCAGGTTTAGAATAACATAAATGATTAACAGAATTTCATGGATCAATCACTACACAGAAACAAATAAACTGTAATGCTTTAGCTGTCGAATGAAACCATATATATTACATTTCGAAATTTTGACCTTTTACTTATTTATGGAATTGCTCAAATCTATATTTTACAATATAGTATACCAACATGAAAATTTGACTTTTGTATAGTCTGTTTTAAGGAAGTACACGATATAGATGACCTATGTAAACTATTACCAAGAATATTTAACACTGTCACTGTAGAGTCAAATTGAACATTTCCATTTCTTTCACGCCTATTACTTGATTGAAATTTCAAAAGATCAAATGAGACATTTTACAAAATATATTAGTTCATTGATGTAACTTTTTAATCTATTGACGTTTTACACTGCAAAAAGGAATTGGATATTTTTTTACTCATGTTAGGTAAAAAAAAACAAAAAAAAAACAAACATATAGGGAGCATGCATGTTTGTAACAGTTTACCTAACATTGCGGGTTCAATCTTACCCGATGTTGGCTATATTTTACCCACTGTTGGGTTAAATCTTTTCAAGAAAACAAACACAATTTCTTTTTTAATCCAACGTGAGTAAAATTGTCTCCAACTCAATAATATAGTGTTCTCTTATTTCAAGTAGCTATTATTTATACACGTCAATTTACCAAAGGCGTGGCATTCATATAGTTTACTACAAGTCTTCAATGTACCGTATATATTGCTATAATGCTATACTTTTACCTGGAGATTGTCCTAATATTCCCGATCCTGTTGAAACTAATAAGATGACTTGAGTCCAGAATAAAATCAGAGAATCCATGGTGGATAATCAATTACAATCCATTCACACAATCATGGTAATAGTTTTAACATTGAGTAGTCCTATCCACGCTCTGAGCAAGGGCGAGTATACAAACTAACGTACAGGAAACTATAGGTGTGCGACGTCTTTTCAGATTGTGTATGGTACATTATATTTTCCTATTCCTCTTTCCGAAACCAAAGTTCACCCAAAGAGAGAAATATCTTTTGAAATATTCATATAGTTAGTGCAGTCAACCTTATAGAAATATGTCAACGTCATAGCCAATGGTACAATGGAGGTGTGTGCTTGTGATATGCGGGATGCGACCGACCAGAAAAGCTCTTTCTTTTGTCATTTTTTTTTATTTATTGTATCTATAAACTGCAACAGGGCACCGCCTGTTTGTAGAGTACTCAATACATGAAGTCCACAGTTCGCCAAGTATCACCCCATGACGTTCTGAGAATGATCCTATTTGTAAAATATGTGTGCAACAAAAAAAAATAGAAATTGAGTGATAAATCTCTACCGGCTTTTCACAAGATGAATGAACGCGATATATACATGTTATAGAGGAACTGTACCCTCTCTATAGTTATTTCATCCTAGAGTATGGTAAATATGTAACCCTAACTCTGACACTAGTCCTAAACAAAATTGCATTCCCAACCTTAAATCTATACCTTTACGAAAATAAAGCCCGAAGCAATTGTCGCAGGTACAAATGTTCGGTCGCAAGTAGAGGTGCGGGCTACCTCTAATTCATAATGCATTGTTGAGATTATCAACGATCATGCCGTTTTGTGTTCGTAGCGTGGGTGTTTCTGCGTGCCAATTCGTTTCTACAAGCTATCTGACACTTAATGAACTTCCTCCTTTTTTAATATATAATAACACAATCTCACCGCTAAACCAACTCAAAACCCAATGACACCATTTAAAAGCTTGGCCATTCTGTGATTTTGTTCAATCCGTCATCGATCTAGTATATCTGGACTGGAGTATCAACTCTATTGGTTAAGTGAAATGACTCTTCAACCGGTACAAGTCAACGAGGTTTATGTGTAATAATGTGTTTTCATTAAGAGTGATAGTTCTATTAATAGTCAAATTTATTATACAAATTGCGAGTAATTTGAAATGATATTTGATTCGAGCGAAACAGGCATAGAAGCATTGAACGATCGAGTAATATTATCAAACTTGTCAAAGTAATTAAATTTATTATATAGAAAATGCGAGTAATTTCAACAATATTTGAAACAAGATAATAGGCTAGCGAACAGTGAATAACCAAGTCCTATTTTCAAACATTACAACTCAAATTTCAGTATGTCATATATTGCATGGGTAGATAAACAATACAAACTAGTTGACGGAACAGACACACCCGTTCCCGAAGAACATACCCCATATCCAACAGTCAGCGGTGTGCACAATTCATTCTTGTTATTGGTTGTTAAAACACACTTCCATTTACCTATTTCTGTTTACGTATATATTTACTACGTTTTGATTCCCGTTTAATGTGTTTAAAACAAACTGTTGAATTTTTTAGTCTGTTAAACAATAATACTAATGATGATAACAACGAAACATAAAGATAATGATAATGATAATAACAATAATGATAATAATAATGATAATAATAATAATGATACTACTACTACTACTACTACTACTACTAATCAACAAATCAAGAACATTTGTAGAGATATGTTTTCAGTTCACTATTTACTATTCACTAAAGATGCAGGGAGTTTTAATTAATAGGCGTGGGACCACAGATTGAAAGTATTCGTAGCCAGTTTGTTAGAAATGATTTTGACAAAGAATAGTCTATGCCTAGTGTATACCAAAAATGTAGGCTTGCTCAATCACATGATCCAAGTTGATTACACTTTTCATTAGAAATCAAATTTAATTATTGATGTAATTTCTGAGGTGCGCAGATTTGACTACGTGATGTCGTCAAGATTAAGTGAGGCACAGATTTCAAACTCTTCTGAGTTGAGCGTGGCTCTGTTGCTTGCTCTAATTAGTTAAGAGAAATGCGCCCTTTGGTATTTTGAATAGAAAGGCTTTTCACTGATATTTCACACCAATGGTTTCATGTTTTTGTCAAATATCGCTCAAAGTTGGTTCCACCACCTGGTAAAAATCTAAACGATGGAAACAATTTAAAGAAGCCTGTCTTTTCTGCAATCTCAAAGCTTTCAAAGACAAATTCGAGGATCCCCTTATTAAAAAGCCTCGTTGTCGTAGTCAAATCGCTTTCCAAGACCAACATATTATATTGGAAAAACTAGAACATAAACAAATAATCAATGATATGATAAAGTTTATTTAAACTGTGTTCAATTTCCTCTGTATTTGTACAGGGCCTCTCAGGAAAACAGTTTAAATACTGAGAGAGTCACCCTATGTAAATTAAACGAATGAATACATAAATAATCAAAAATACGTCCAACAATAATTATCATAAAAAAGGTACCAAAGGCTTTGATTCTTACTATCATAGATCATCGCCAGATGGCGTGCTTCATTTACGATGGTTTCTTCCAATTAAACTTGCCTATATAGCTAGACCTCGTTTAAAAAAAAGTTTCATTCACTCCCCCAAAGGGCAGTAAGCCAATTAAGTCATTAAAAAAGAGGTTACAAAAAAAAAACAGATTCCCATGTTCATTTTAGCAAATCTGGCACATTAATTGGTAATTAACAACAACAACCAAACATTAAAGTATTGTAAGGGGTTGGGAAATTACCCTGTGACCGGTAGAGGGCGGAGTGCTGAGACAGGCCAGCACTCTTTGCTTGTCCTTCTCACAGGTGAGTTGATCGAACTTGGACCACTTTTATGTTTAGTAAATATTGGTATTGTTATACTAAATATTTGTTATGTACATATGTGGATTGCGTCAGAACGATTTCAGTGATTATTTTGATGTATCATGTGGGTTGATATGATTATATCGAAAGCGAAGATTTAATGTTAAAATGTGAGATGCTTAGCGTTTTGATTAATTTGGAAAATTTACATTGTAGTACATGGGCATGTACACTAATTACTAGTAGTTGAATGCAGTACCAACATTGGGTGTAGTGCGTGCGCGCTAATATTTTACCTGGTCCCAGGACCAGGACCAGGGTTACGCTCTAATTTTTGTGATGAGTATAGGTCTTGGTTCAGGAACGAGGTCAGTGAGAAGTATAGGGAGCATAGAAAGAAGTGCTTATGATAGGATTTGAGTGTTAGCAATGCATGTTGTTTGAATATCGGTTGCTAAGGGGATATTAATAAAGCACATCAAACAGTGATGATCGAACTTTGTCTGACTATTTAGTCATAAGAGGGTTTCTAGCGCCCTCTATTATTGTAAACCTTGTTTATCATTTTGCAGATTGCTATAAAAAAAATATTGTTACATGTTAAATTGATATGGACTATTAAGGAGTAAGGGCAGTGAAAGGGGTTAGACCAGGAGATATTTGGAAGTAAGAAAAGTATGGAAGATAAATAGTTGGATTGGAGTGGTTGATGAACGTTTATTTTGATGCAGATAATAAAGATATTTATTGTTTCCAGGATTTATCAATGTTTCTGGTCTTGGGATATTCTGATATTTTGTCTTTGTTCCATTGGTCTATTGTTATGATATTGTTAGTTTCATTATTCATTCTATAAGATGTGCTTACTTTGAAAAGGGGAACCAGGATAGCCCTATTTAAGTTTATGTTATTAGGATATTCGCATTGTCTTAATATTACAATGTACAAGTTAAATGCATAGTTTATTGAACAAGAATTGAGTAGTGATATAGAGGTCGCATGATAAGGTTATTAAACCTAGCTTGGTGTGTTGGCTTATCCAACTTTGTGAATGTGTTGCTTTATATGAGTTTTATATTGACTGATATTTGTATATTAAAGTATTTGGGTCAGGTATTTACATGTGTTAGTGTTGAGAGTTTCAGCTACATTGTACTGTGGCAATTGGTTTTTAAAGGGCAAATTTACTCGTTTTATACTTAATAAAATTACAAGTTTTTGGGGGTGCATGATCTCCATGATAATCAGCAATACTATGTGATATGTAATGTATCAGTTACTGGTTACTACTATAAATAAAGACACTCCTAGCATCTTCGATTCTTGTCTTAAAACGCTCAACGGCGAACACTCAATTAGATTGGTGCCCGGCGGGCGGCCGCCGCTCGGTGCCCGGACGAAATTGGCTAAAAACTCGCCGCCCGGCCGCCGAGCAGGCTACTTTTTGGGTTTACAGTAAATCGTCATGACTGATAACATTGCGAGAGCAAGAAGAAATTTTACAAATCAAAGAATAAGAATACGTTTTACAGCTCTCCTATTGTATTAACATATTGTGACCTGCCCTAAATAAAATATTTCAGTGCAATAGCTGTCATTGCACAGGTTAAATATTTGAAGGACATGATTAGATATTTTTTTTAATTAAACAAAAAGAGAATTAAGCAGATGGAGGATAGATTCTTGCAGAGAAATAATCTTGAATAAAGGTAATAGCATTTGGTATACATGTCAAAACCACTTTATCTCGGGGATGATCTTGTCCTGTTATGAATTGTTTTGTCATGTCTTGTCTTATCATATTATGTCAGTAATGTCCTTTGTGTCCCGTTTTAATTTTTCAGTGAATTACCCTAAAATATGTCATGAAGATTGTGTTTCTATTAATTTTAACCCATTCATTCAACGAAATGAACTATCAGGAATATGTGAGAACAATTTCATATCAATAACTTAAAAAATTCATGTTGAATTGAAAGATTTATAAAATAAGTCACTTTTGCACTAAAACTGTGAATATGTAGGATTTTGCTGTTTGAAGTAGTAAATTTATACCCTTTTTGTGCATACCCGAATTAAATATTTCACTGAGGTATTCCTCTATGTATTACCTTTCAACTGGGCAAGAAAAAAATTGAAGAAAAAAAAAATCACCCAAACTTAGTTTTGGCGCACTTTGGTTCCTCCCTGGCCCAATGTGCGCCGTCCGGAGAAGCTTCCCGATTTCGTACAGTTTTTAACTGATAAAAACGCTCTTCAGACTGCTGGACT